TTTGAGGTGTTAGTAGTTTAAAGAGAAAGTATAAATAAATAAGGGTATTGTAGTAATTAAATAAATATAATAAATATATATATAAAAAAAGGATCTGAAAAATTGAAGTAGCAAATCGTGAGAGAGAAGGGAAAAAGAAAAAAAAAAAGAAAAATTAGAAGGGAAATAAAAAAGAGTTGAAGAAATAAATTTAAAGGTAAATTTAGGTTGTTAAATGTATAAATGTGTATTATTGAGCTTTTAATTTTGGTTTTGATTTAATTTTGGTTTTGATAAATGTTAGGGTTTTGAAAATTTGTGTTTTGAGTTTAATTGATGAATTAAATTGAATGTTATAAGGTTGATTGTCGTGTGTAATGAATTGTTAAGTTGAATTTAAGATATTGTAGATAAAAATGATGATTTTGAGTTATTATTTTGTTTAAATGGTGAAATTATGTTAGAAATCAGGGGATAACATAGGTAATATGTGAAAATTTTGGGTTTGAGGTTGAAGATGATGAAAATTCAATTTGGTCTCTCAATTTGTGAAAATTATGGTTTAGTCCCCAAACTTTCAAAAATTACAGATTGATCCCTAGAATATATTTCGAGATTCTGAACCGAAGAAATATAAATTATGGGCATAATTACTTTATAGTTATAAATTTTGAACACTTTCAATTTGGTCCTTCAATTTGATAAAAAATATCATTTGACCCTAAAAATTTGGTAAGATTCCAGAATGGTCCCTAGAGCATAATGAGATATTCTTGATATAATTAAGGATTAATTATGCTCAGAATTTCAGTATATTCATGGATTTATGAAAAATTTTAGTTTTGTCCTCATTTCATAAAAAATTATAATTTGACCCTAAAAATTTGAAAAATTTTCAAAATGGTCCCTGCAGCATAATTAGAGGTTCTGGACAGAAATGAGGATGAATTATGAACATAATTTCTCTATATTCATAAATTTATGATATATTTAGTTTAGTCCTCCAATTAGACAAAAATTACAATTTGCCCTAAAAATATGATAAATTTCGTATTAGTTCCTATCTATGATATTAGCTCTTGCATATTGGTTTGATGAATAATTTAGGGTTATTTAGTGAATTATTATCAATTTTATTATTTTTTTTATTATAGATAAGATTTCAGGAAAACCATTAATTTTTGAGTTTTTAGAAAAATAACTAGTTTAGTCTAAAAACATATAGAGTTATGGAATAGACTTTTAGTTAAGTGTATTAAATAGGTTATATGTTCTTTTGAGTTATTCTTGAATATATCTTCTTTGTATTGAGATAATTATGATATTCTACTAGCAGGATGTCAGTAGGATTTTCTTCGGCCTTTACTTTTGATTTTTATTTGCTTTCGAGTTAAGTGAGTGGATAATTTTTCATATGCATGAAAAATATTATAAATATTTAATTTTTTATTATGAATTGGATCATGCTTCTTGATAATATATATATATAAAACCTTGAAAGAGAAACTTATCTATGTGCTGGTCATGGATCCGAGAATCGGATCGTAACATGCTAGCAACGTTCTTATGAGCATAATGTTTTATATAAAAAAAAAAACAATGCGTAAATGGTTATTTTAAGGCATAATCTTGCAAAGTGAGTGCTTTTTTGCCTCTATGACATGGATATGGCTTAGAAATTATAGAGAATCTGTGAGTTCCAGTTGGGTATATATCTTGGTGTGCCTCTCATTAGTGAAACAGCTAAATGCTGTTTATTGCACACTGCTAATTGGGAAATACAACACCATTTCACAGCAGTGGAATTCCACAACCTTGAAACGAAACCAATCATTTACAGTGATGTAATTTTGTTTCCAGCAAAAAGCAACACTCAACATCATTTTTCTGAAGGGTTGAAGACAACAACTGACGCTGTGAAATGGAATAAGTTGATGAGTGGCCACAAATATTCATAGAAAGAAATGGAATATTCCCCCGTATACCCACACCACAAATATTCCAGGCTGTAATAATCATAGAAAGAAATACAAAACCTTGAAAAACATCAGAGCACGTCAAGTTACTGAGTGGCCCTCCATTCCTCTCTTTCCCTATCAATCTGTTCTTGCAGGTCATTTGTGTATGTCCCAAGTTCATGTTTGTTCCCAACACTTAATTCCCCACTAGAATCATATTACTGATTTCCTCAGAATCAGCCAGTCTCTCTTGTGCTGCGTGATCATAATTGACAAGGAGTCCGTGGTTAAATCTTTCAATAGCTGAGGTCATTGAGTCTTCTGAAGCAACATCAACTGACCCGTGAAGGCTTCCACCATTAACAAATCTTTTCATTTCTCTCCTTCCACGGCAAACAGTCATGGTTCGGCTGTGTCTTGTTATTGGGGGCCTGCTCTGTTTCCCTTTTAACACCAACATTACTGCTGCTGAACTCATAGAAAGGCTTGGGCTGAGTAGCTTAGTTGGAATATTTGGAAGGAAGTCCGTCAGAGTTAGGTGGCCCAAATGTACAAGGTCCAGCCCACCCTTTTCAAAAGGGTGAGATGTTGAACATTGGGCTTGTAACGGTGAGTCCAGATTCACAGTTATTAAGACCAACCCTGCTTGAATGGACAGAAGTGACTCAGGGACAATAACGTCTTTAAAGACGTAGGCAGGTGAAGCTACAATAGAGTCAGCCGCAATTTCAGGGTTCAAATCTTGATTTCTTCCGCCAAAATGATTTCGTCTCACCATTCACCAAAACCTCTTTTTTTTTTTCATTTAAAAAATATTTTTAAAACATTTGAATTTTTTTAATTAATATTTTTTTAATTTTTATATATTTTTATCAAAAAATAATTTTTTAAAATTAAAAATATATTATTTTAATAAATTAAAATAAAAATTACTTTAAAAAATAACTATTATTATCCATTCAAATAAATACTAATTTTGTTTTTTAAAAAAAATTGTTTTGGCTGACCGCTAAACATAATCCTGTCTTTTCCACCAGCACATCAATCATCAATGGAGGTGCTTCCCCGAATGAACTCGCTCTTAGCATACAACTCTGTTCGAAACCAGTGTGAAAAGAGATTGGCACGGTTTTTTTTTTTAAATTAAATTTTTATTTTTATATTTTTAAATTATTTTATGTATTAACATCAAAAATAATTTTGAAAAAAATATTTTAATATTGTTTTTAAAAAATATTTTAAAATTAACCGCTTTCATCCTGTCAAAAATTTTAAAAAATTCCCTCAACTGCCACGTTGTCTCCCGCCATTCAACAACCACTCCCGCTTAATATCGTAACACATTGCTCGTAAGCTGTGCCCCTCTAACGGGGCAACCATATTGATAACAAAAGCATCTAATAACGAAAGCACCAATTATATTATAATTGAGCAAAAATCTCAGGTCGTAACACGCGCGTACGCCTCTGTCGTTCAGCTTTATCTCATTGCTCACCAAGCCGCTGCCCTTAAATTATAAGTGAGGGCTGCAATACAATAATTAATTATTATTGAGCTGACCCAAAAAATACAATGGTAGTTAGCCGCTGTGAAAATCATTAAAAAATAAAAGTAGATGAAAGTGCCTGGCTGGTTTTGAACTTTTTGGAGGTAATCCAACCATTTATGAAGGCTTATCCGAAGAACGACTAGACGATGGATTCTTTAATGATTATCTCTTTGAGCAGACATTGACAAGGGGAAAATATATAATAATTAATTATTAGTGATCTCAATCCGCTTAGCACATTTAGCCGACATTTTCATTGGGCGACCGTACAATAATTAACATGTTCTCTAGGTATTAATGAATCTTTGACCTTTAATTAACATGCATTAATTACTTCTTTTTTAATGAATTTGATGTATTTATGATCCAATCTCACTTTCAATTTATCAAACTGGAGTATGATTAAGAACTTGTTATGAGTTTTGGATATAGCAAGTAGCATTTGATTGTTGTTTGAAAAAAAAAAAAACAGTTGAAGTACTATCGGCATTTCTTGTTTTTGATGCAGTCTGCCAGAAAAAAAACTGAAAGTTTTTAGTAATCAGATCATGTTATACAAATATTTTAGTATATAATTTAATGCATTAGTAAAGTTAAATCTAAAAGGAGATTTACTGGTGATAAACCATCTACTTTGTCTACCAACGGGTATAAATCATGTTATTTAAAAATTTTAATTTTTTTATTAAAAGTTAATTTTTTTTTATGAATTTTAAATTTTTTTAATGTGTTAATTTTAAAAATAATTTTTTTTAAAATAAAAAAAATATTATTTTAATATATTTTAATATAAAAATCATTTTAAAAAACAATCATAATAATACTTCAAAACAGATACTTTTCTATCCAAATTCTCTACTCTAATTTTTCTAAAACAATTTCTGAGGCTCAATTTTATAGAATATAGAACTTAAGACCGCTTCACCAGGCTAGACAATTTGCTAAATATTATCATTGATTGTGTTTGTTTCCATAATCAAACACATTTTCTTCCTCGAGTCTCGGTCTTTTATATCCTTGGAGAACAACTGAACACTAACTATAAATCATGAGTCGGAACCCAAACTCTATTTTCAATTATTCAACTAGCTGAAAATAAAATTTTCAAAATATTTTTATTAAGAAAAAAATATATATCTCTACGTAAAATAACACGTAGCAGCGACTAACCAACCAGGAAAAAACAAAATAGTACGTGGATGAGACAAATGAGAAAATGTTATATGATCGGACAAAATTTAAGCAGATGAGATTTCTTGTTTTTTTCTTTGATGTCACTGGAACTTTTTTATTTAATCTGATGACGTTTGACATTAATGGCAACCTAAGTTTCAATATATTTTAAGAATAGTACAGTAATGTTCTAAGCATATTCAAGAAAAACATAAAAAAAAATAAAAAAATACAATGCTATTGTTGCTAAGCTACCATACGCAGCCTCAGTAGTGCTATAAAAAGGGAGCAAAGGAGATGCTCAAGTTGTAGCGAAGCAGAAATAGTCACACTGTCTTAAAAAGTTGTATTTCAGTTTTCATAAGATGGTTGAGCACTTCATTAACCCTATACTAGAGTTGTAATCATATAGATTAGACTCTGTAATTGTCAAAGCTAATTTTGTTCTTGATTAAATAATTAGGGAATGGAAGTTCGAGTGGATCAGGTCCTGATGTTCAAGGCTTTACAACAATCCTCAGCATTGACGGGGGAGGAGTGAGAGGAATCGTTCCTAGCGTAGTTCTTACTGCTCTAGAAGCTAAGCTTCAGGTTCTTGAATCTATCAAAAACTCTAGTGTTACCCTCATGTTACTTTTAATAACATCGATCAGAGAAGCCTTATACTAATTGCTATTTTTGCTGTATGTATATATAGAAGTTGGATGTGGATAACAAGGATGCGAAGATTGCAGATTATTTTGACTTTGTTGCTGGGACAAGCACAGGAGGTCTTATGACTGCCATGCTCACTACTCCGAATGCTGAAAAACGACCAACTTTTGCAGCAAAAGATGTTGTCCAATTTTATCTGCACAAGAGTCAACTCATATTTCCTCAAATCACCGAACAAGATGAAGACGATTATATATAGCGTGATCTCATGCATCCTCTATTGTGAATAAAACTGCAGGCAAAACGTGATAAATCAACTGATGCTGGAATAGCAGACGTTTGTATTGGCACGTCTGCAGCGCCATATTACTTCCCTCCACATAATTTTAAAACAACCGTTGATTTCAACTTAGCTGATGGCGGTCTTGCAGCCAACAATCCTGTGAGTTAAGGGTTGCTATATGTTGCAATATAGGTGTTGTTAACGTTGTTAAGTGGGTCTCAAACTCTCTGGAACACTTGGGTTGAGTTTTGTGTACTTGCTTAACAGTCAGAATGCTCTCTTTAAGTTAATGTTATAAATTTTATCAGTCATTGCTAGCCGTGTGTGAGGTGATGAAAGAACAAAAGATGGATGGTCGTGAGCTTCTTATTCTTTCACTTGGAACTGGAGCAGCTGACCAGAGTGACAGGTATGTGGTTGGAGATCCCAGCAAATGGGGCCTCTTAAGATGGCTTTGGTATAGCGAGAACAACGGCAGCCCCTTGATTGATATCTTGACAACTGCACCAGATGAGATGATTTCGACGTATATATCCACAATCTTTAAATATTGTGGCTGGGAAGATAACTATTATCGTCTTCAGGTATGAGTGACTCACAGTTGAAATATTTTCCAACTATATATATATATATATATAGCTGTGTAGAAATTAAGGAAAACATTTCCAAAGATTTACCTCAGTACTTATTTAAAATGGAGTTTCAGTCATGGTCTTTATCATGCACTTGTATTTCATGCTCAATTGATGTGCTGCACTTTGATAATTAACACAATTTTCAGGCTGAGATGAAACTCTCTGAGGCCAAGATGGACGATGCAAGCCAAGAAAATCTGAACAATCTTGTGAAGATTGGTGAAGATCTTGCCGCAAAGCACGATGCCGAACTTGAAGCGTGAGAACTTGATTAAATGATAAATTTGTGTTACTTTTTTTCTTTGGTGGTTTTGCACCAAGATTAATAGCCTTGAGCATTATGTGGGTCTAATTTTACAATCTTCGCATTGATTTTTTGCAGCCTTGCGCAAAAATTGATTAAGAACAGGGATGCTCGCTTGGCCAGAAATATTTCTGGTTGATACATTCTGCAGTATACAAGTGTTTCTCCTCTGAAGCACTATGATATCTACTATTTTATATGATCTTTTTTATTTGAAAAATAAATAGAGGCCTGCTATAATGTTAGTGCTGGAGTCAACATGATGTCGAGGCCGGCATCGTTGCAAAACCAAAGCCATGTTCTGTGTTCTAAATTCAGGCTTCTTTTGTGAGTTTGTGTGGAGTGATGAGTTTGAAATTAAGACAGCTCGACGACTTTGTGTAAGAAAAATAATGTATTTTTTTTCTTGAGTTTACCATAAAACGAAAGAAAAAGGATCTCCATGGTCGTGTAGTGTAAAAGTTCATGTGTTTTGAATAAAAGGTGATGAAGTTCTGTTTGGGTGTCTAAGACATGGCACTATTGTTAGGCTATTAAAGCAATCAAATACATATTAATTTATATAATTCGATAACTTGTCTATTTTATGGAGTTACTAATTTATATTAATCAAGTTTAGAAGCAATACAAACAACAAAACAAGGAGGAGAAGAAAATTCTTCTCTACTCAACTCAACTCTCTTTCTCTAGCTCTCTTTATGTTTCTCTCTCGTTCTTCTTACTTAGTTCTTAATGACATCCTCTATTTATAGCTGAAATGGGAGACAATCCTCTCTATTTAGTCAATTATGGTAGCTACCATTTTTCAATGTTAGGTAACCATTCTTGACTTTTACCATACAGCTACATGGCTGCAACAACCATTTTTATGTCCATTCATAACAATCTCCCACTTGGACACAAATGACGCTAGATTTGTTTTTTAATTTTTGAAACCAACTGAAGCTTTGCACAGCTTCAGTTTATCAAGAGTAACTCCTTTG